TAATTTACTACTTAAAATCTCCATGGATGTGCTCCACAGCCATACAGTTTGTTGCTTCCACCTCTTATTCAAGGGGGCAATGTGTCATGATGCAAGTACAACTGTTTTACCATGCAGTAGTAATTCCTTTTATCTGGTGTCTTCCAGAAAAAGGACCCACTGGCAAAGACGGCTGCAGAAGAAATTCTTGTCAGCTCTGAAGAGGAGGATGGAGTACGTGATATGCTATCTGTTATACCTTACATGAAATTCACAGCACTTCCTTCTGTTCTTCTGCAGCGACTGGTAGAAAATGGCTGAAAATATTTTGTACCACTGATTTAGATAGTGTTGCATGTGCAAGTTTGTGTGCGTCATAATTACACATTCAAAGCATCTTGTTGCAAATCAGCAGCAGCACTATGAGAATAGTAAATGTACAGTGTAGTAGCAATGCATAAACTATGTCTCTTCTTCCTGTAGGAGAAGCACCCCTTTATAAGTAGTGCTATGGCGGCATCTCAGTGGTGCTCTGCAAAGAAAATGGGAGATAAAGTCATCCTGCCACAAATTCTTTCCGTGGCCCCACTGGACAGAGAAGCAGCTCTCCATAACCTTGGTGAAGCCAGCAACCTGTGGGACGAAGACAGCTGGGAAGACAGGATGGATCCATTTATGTTCAAGTTCAAATTTGAGTCGGACTATTTAATGTTTTTTGAGCAGTTCATTGATAAAGAAAACCTTAAGGTTCATGCCTGTTTTGAAGAGTGCGGTTGAATGTTTGCATCAGCAAAGCCTTTCACTGTTGTATAGATTTTTTTTTTATATACTTGGTTTGGTTTTTATATTTACTGTATTTGCTTTTTCGGTTCTGTTATCTTAATGATTTGTACTTGTAGTTGTCCAGCAGATGATGCTGTTTGTCTCATTAGGATATCCATACACCCCGCCCATCGGACGTCCAGCCCCGCCCACATCTGACCACGCCCCATTCCGCGTGCTGCAGTCAGGGCCTATAGAAAAATATTACCGAGGTCCGGACCTCAGTGACTTCAATGGTAGATACGGCCATGGTGGTAGACGTACAAAGTTATACAAAATTACATCAAAGAAACAAATAAAACATAGTAAATAAATTAAAATACAGTTGCATACTTCAGATTAAATATTTGTTAAATACGCACTTAGTTTTGATTGCCTTTTTTATTCATAACGTTTTATTAGTGCAACTATGTTGTTTTGATTCTTCGTAAAACAAATTGTAGTTATATTGATATTTCCTAAAATAGTCACAGAAAAGAGAAAACTGATATCACATTGCATACAGTTACCAGTGAAATACATAATCATTCAAAAGGGTGGTTAGCAAAAACACTTTATTTTATTGAAAAAGTGTCTCGACAAAGACAAAGTGACACCCATGCTGGCAACCACCAGAGGGCAGCAGAGTTCAAATAATACATATAGCATGCATGATGAATATAAAGAGAAGACGAAGGAATGGTCATGACGAGTGAGTTAGGTATATAGATGTGAGCACTGCTTTGAAACCCAGTCTATGAATTTTAGTTAATGATCTTAATTTAGGTGGGTGTAAGATCTTTAAGGCTTGTGTCATTCTGAAATGTAAAACCTTATTTAAAGTTTATCTAAAGAGGTACTCGAAATGGTGTGTTTGCACTGCACACATAATCACAGAGAATACTATTGGCATGACATATGTTGATCCAACAATACACATCATCAGCGCTGCACATCATCTGTGTTCCCTGCACCACAACACAGAATCAGTTTGCGCACTGCACACAGAGCTTCTCGCAGTGGTGGAAATAATGTAACGTTATACATTTACTTAAGGAATGTACTTGAATTATACTTAATGTACTTAATTTTGAGGTACTTGTACTTTACTTGAGTATTTTCCTTTTCTGTTACTTTGTACTTCTACTTCACTAAGTGTCAGAACGAAATGTTGTACTTGTATTGCCTTATTAATTTAGTTACTTTTTCACCTATACAAGTTATACTGTATTTACTAAAAATTCTCTCAATGCTTTCCAAATAATTGCTCCATATTGACATATTTATATAATAACCCAACACATTAGAGGCATTCTGCATACGTGTTTTTACTTTTGATAATTGGGTATACATTTAGCTGATAACATTTCTGTAATTTTACTTAAATCATATTTTCAACTCTTACTTGTAATGGAATATTTTAAGACTGTGGCATTAGAACTTTTACTTAAGTACTTTTTTCCCCACTGGCTTCTGATGGAACATTTTCTCGGTGAATTGGATTGTGACCTCTCCATGTATTTCTTGTATGTGGGAATGCTATGGCAATGTTTAATCAAAGGCCAAGTTGTTAGCATAAATGCAGCCCCAGGTGGCAGGAATACTGATACCAAACATGAAGTTAATCAGGACAGTTTTTGTTGAAATATTTTTGCAGTGACTAACTAACCAGTGTCAGCACATTTCCAATGAACCACAGTAAGTCAATAGTACAATCACTGTTGTATTCATCCAGATGTCACAAATTAAAAAACGAATCAGGTGGCTTTACAATGTGTACAGTATGTGACACCTTTGTCCTCAGACATTACATCCAGGGGTTCCTTCAAAGCTTGTATAGCTCCTTAGCTCTGGGGCAGTTACTGACCTGGACCCTGATTTATTTCACATAGAAGTGAAGTTCAAAATCATGATTTATGTTACATGGTGAACAACAAGGAGAGCTGTGACAAACAGGAACCTATTTCGTTTTTTTTAATATAGTTTTGAATAGAAAATAGAACACATGCTATTCTTAAAAAAAAGAGAAATATTAGTAATACCTTTTTGGGTGGAGAGAACTGCATCCGGGAATTAGGAATTACATTACATGTGACTTGTTAGACACTTGTATCCAAAGCAACTTCCATACATTCAGCACTGGGCAGTGCCACGGACACAATGACATGCTGACTGCAGTGGGACTCAAACTTGCTGATCAGAAGATCGGTGCACTATTCCACTGAGCCACAGCCTCCAAATAAATAGAGTGGGTTTTTGTACATTATACTTAGAAACACAAATACAGTGGTAGAAAGTAATTAAGTACATATACTCAGGAACTGTACTTAAGTCAAAACAAAGTGGGTACTTGTACTTTAATTAAGTATGTTCACATTATACTACTTGTATTTTTACTCCACTACAATTTGTTGGCACTACATTTACTCTACTTGATTAGTTACTTGTTACTTTGCAGATTTAGGTTATTAATAACAAAGATATAAATCAGCTAACTATTATTATATAGTATTGCTGTTTTTGCTTTAGTAAATAATCCGAGTATGTATTTCACCTCTGCAAAAATACAACTATTGCTTAGTTACAACACTGCTACAGTTTACCAATAATATAAAATACAATAATTAATAATTTGAATACAATTGTGGTAAGAGATACTTATAGTTGACTTAAAAAAACCATATAGCCTACTGTTGAAGTCAAAAATAGGAAGTGGAAGGACAGGGATTGGAGGAGAATAGGAATAGGAAGAGGAAGCGCAGGGGGAAGAGATGGGAAAAGGAGGACGAGAGAAGAAGTGAGAGGAGGAGTCTGTTTGTTGACATCGGACGAAAACGAAAATCAGATGAGTGAAGACTGATGAAACAAACTACATTTCTCGCCGTCATCAAGACATATAGCCTTGGTGAAAGCTAAGGTAAAGCACCGCCTGATGGGCTGCCACTCATACACCTGTGACCGCTGTCTGTTCACTGTGGTTCCACACATAGCTCGTAGCTAGCGCTGGTCCCACTAGCTATGTTAGCTAACACCATAGCAGGGAAAGTCACCGCTAGCCACAAGCTAATTCTGACGCTGAGATGCGCTGCTGACACCGTATCGGCAAGTTGAGGCTTAACTTGGAAAACACAAGTTTGTCTCTTTTATATTTGCGTAGGTATTATTGAATAGGTTTATAGTTTGTGTGTGTTATTCAGTAGCTATCTAGCGGCAGTGTTGTTATATTAAAACTGATGTACAGTGTAGCTAGCTAGAAAGCTAGCTAACTAGTCTGCCGTGTCTCCCAGGGTTTACTGCTGTGTGCTGAACTAATAGACCTGTAGCACTAACTTAGAGACAGGACAACTTCACTCACTAACTTCCTTTTGTCAGCAAGACCTTCAGCTTGATATAGACAAGTAAGGATAATTGTGTTTGTAACGTTAATATTGAAACTCAAAGTTGTTAAAAAGAACACAACATTGGTGGCAAGCAGTATCAGCAGTGGTGTAAAGTAAGTACATGTATTCAAGTATTGTACTTGTGAGGTACTTGTACTTTAATTGAGTATTTCCATGTTATGATACTTTGTAATTCTACTTCACTAAAATTCAGAGATAAACATTGTACTTTTACTACACTACATTTATTTAATACCTTTTAGTTACTTTGCATATATGGATTAAGGATCCAAACATGATCAACACTTAAATCAGACTGTAGTTCCTCCTGGAGTATTATTCAAAAGCTACCCAGCAATACATACAGTAGTTAGTTCATCAATGATTATAATGACAACATATATATATGATTCTGAAATGGGTAAATCTGCATAGCGATTACTTTTGATTATCTGGTACTTTTGGTACTTTAGGTATATTTTGATGCTTATACTCTTTTACTTTTACTTGAGTAACAATTTGATTGCAGGACTTTAACTTGTAACAGAGTATTCCTACACTCTGGTAGTTCTATTTTTACTTAGGACAACATCTGAAGAACTTCCATCTCTTCAAACTAGTACACTAACTAAAGACATGAACTTATTACTATTTTCATTTTGTTAGGTAGAGTCATTAATGCGATTAATTGCGATTAATTAATTACAAAGCCTGTAATTAATTAGATTAATTTTTTTAATCGAGTCCCGGCCCTAAAAAGAACACAACATTGGTTGCAAGCAGTATCAGCCATACACATGACAACTAGCTCTCTAAAGAATGGACAAATCGGAGATATATGTCTTCAATTCCATTTTTCACACATGGGAAATACAGTAAGGGTTTTTTGGAACATCCTTGACCTATAATGTGTTGTTTATGACCAGGGGTGAAAGAAGTGTTCAGAAGCTTTACTTCAGTCAAAGTACTGATACATTATTGTCAAAATACTTCATTACAAGTAAAAGTCCTGCATTCAAGATCTTAATTAAGTAAACGTACAAAAGTATGATGTACTTGCATTACAAAAAGTAATCATTTTGCAGAAAAATTGCCTTTTTTGTGTGTATATTATATTTATGCATGTGACATTTTCTAGATAATATTGTTGCATCAAGCAGCATTTAACTCGTGGACAAACACAATTCTGACTGACTTTCTTTGCAAAATATTTGACTCTTGTGTTTAATATATATATATAATGTTTTAGAGATGCATTTTGTTAAAGGTAGTTCAAGCAGTTCAATAAATGTAGTGGAGTAGAAGTATAAAGTAGCATATCATGGAAATATTCAAGTAAAGTATGTACCTCAAAATTGTACTTAAGTACAGTATTTGAGTAAATGTACTTACTTCCCTCCTCTGTCTATGACTTGGATGTTTCGACTAATATTTGGAATGAATGTCGTTACTGTGTTCGCTAAGTCTCAGACTCAGTGTATATGATTTGAATCCGTTTTTTTTTTTGGTAGTCAAATGGTCAAAGGGAAACTTTTTGTTTCTGATTTCCACCAGAAGCAAGCTCCTGTGAAAAGACATGTCCTAACTTCGTTCGATGAATGTCTCCTCAGGTCCCCTGCACTGCCCTGTCTTTAATCTGAGCCGGGGACAAAGAGGCTAACATGGCAGCAAAAGCAGGAGACAACCCTGACAGCCTCATGACTCTGGCAACCATCTTCTGCCTGAGGAACCTTAGGAAGACCATGTGCTACCAGGGATTCAGGAACAAGCTCTGTCTGCGCTCGGACATCTTCCTTCCAAGCGAGATCTGCGACAAGTTGGTCAACACGTAGGTCGCATGATACATCTGCAATCATTCCATTCATCTACATTTCCATTCTCTCAAAACGCCTCATCATCACAATATTACATATTCCATGTTTTTTTTGTTTTTTTTACAGATACATGGAGTTGGTCCACACAGATAGTAACTTTGAACCAGAGGAAAGCTTCTTCCAACTGTTCTCAGACCCCTGCAGCACCAGACTGACCAGGGTACAGCTGAGAGAAGACTTCGTACGGGACAGAGATCTGGAGGCCATTCAAAAACAGGTGGGGTTTTTCAGAAAACTGTGATTGAATCTCTCATCGTCCAGTCCACCTCTGTGAAACAGCTCGACTAGTAAACTTAGATAATGGAAGTACCTGTAGCCATTCATCTTTTTGCTCACTTTAGGCCTCAGTCGTGATTTCGTAGGCATCCTCGTTTACACAGACACAGCATATCCTGCGCTAAGTGGTCTAAACTCTTTCTGTATATTTTGTTTAGAATCATACACTCTTATTTTGTCTATGGTTGTAATTTGTCTGCTTGTGTAATGTCAGACACAATGATGTGGCACCTCTTCTTCAGAGGTGAAAAAACTTGAAATAATAACTCGACAACAGTGTGAAAAATACAGCTAAACATTTCACTCACAACTTAAAACAACAGCATTTCTGTTAACAAAGAAGAAATCCCATTACATCTACTAAATAACGACATTACTTTACATTATTTGAATTTCTTTTTTGAGCCAATATACACAGCTGTTATGTTTAATTTTCTTTTTTGAGATACATTGCATTGTAAGTCAAACTGGGGCTCCTATCCCTCTTTTCATAATAACCAAGAGCTCAATAACCCAGTGTAAGAGCCATCTCATGCGGCTTTCACACCAGCGCTTTTCCCTTTCTAGCTTCAAGCTAGAGCTTTTCTGGTTCAGCTCCGGTTTCCCTTTTCTGCTCCTGCTCTGTTCACACCACCCAGAGCCCGACTGGTGCAGCCGCTGCTGCGTCATGACGTCACCGTTTACATCGCTGATTTGCTCCCCAACAGCGCTCACAACAACAACAACGGGGGACTGCGTCGGGTCGATGATCGTGTAGCTTTTAATCATACGAAGTCAGATTAAATAAAAATAACGACTTCTCCAACCTTATGCTTTTCTTCAGAGTGCCGTGGTTCATTGTTTATTAATGTGTTTCAGCGGCATTTACCGACCGCTGCAGTGCTGCTCGTCCACTGGAGTTTATTCTCCCGTTAGCTCTGGGCTAGCTAATACTTTAGAGCGGCCTCTCTAAAGTATTCACTGTCTGACTGTCACACAAGCAGCTGATACATATCCCCAGTTCCCCTTAAGTGAATGTGTGTCAGTCTGAATTGACGCTGTTTGGCATCACAACGCTGTTATGAAAGTTTCTCTGGTATAAAATGGGTGATGTTAGCATAGCAACCGAAGGTAAACTGACTACTTGCTATTGCTATCCTATTGTAGCATAAGCCGTTTTCTACAGGCACATTTTACCGGCGTATTTTTCATTATGATTCTACTTGTGATAGTCGGACACGACAACCTGTGCAGCCCATGTATTGATTCCATCTGATCTGCTATAATACAAAACAAAACGTCTGCCTCTCTCCACAATGATCAATAACAGCGAACGGATGGTCAAAGTAAGGTACAAATAAACAGAATCACACGAAGCCTGGTTAGTGTTGCCGGACTTTATAAAGTGTGTTTATAAGCACTACTGCTTGTAGGCAGGCATGACGAGACTCTTCAGTCGACCCATGTTCAGGGGAGGTGGGTGTAGTTTCCTGCACGCCTCGACGACGTAAGCGACGCCGCCTCTTAGCTCCGAAGCTCTTGCCTCTAGACCGACAATTTTTTGGAGCTGGAAGTGAACCGGATTCCGGAGCTAAGAGGCGGCGCCCCTGCGGTGCGAACAGGAAAAAACGGTACTTTTCGGGCTCCAGCTCCGAGCCGGAGCTGAAAACGCGTTGGTGTGAAAGAGGCATTAATGAAAGGTCATGCTTGGTTTGAAGCTGTCACAATGATGTCTTATTTCATGTGTTTGCCAAAGGCAGGGTTCGTACGGGTGCTGGAAATCCTTGAAAATGCTTGAAATTGTACGAGGTGTTTTCAAGGTTTGAAAAGTGCTTGAATTTTGGGAATGGTGCTTGAATTTGGGATAAAGTGCTTGAAATTGTAAATGCTTTACTTCGCTTTTTAGATTAAAAGAAAATAAAGAAGTCGGAGCGAGCTTAATTGCTTAGCTTTTTACATAAAACAGCTCCGCTCCGGCCTTCCTGCGCTATGCGCGTGACCGGCAAGTGTTTGTGTTACGTGTGTGACCTGGGCATTCTGATGAGAGTGATAGATGACAGTATGCCAGAAGGTTGCAGTTTCAACGAGTGTTGGCTAGCAGAAGACAAATACAAGCCATGGCTAAGACGAGGGTCAAGCCCACGAGTAGCCTCCTGCAAAGTTTGCAACAAATAACGATGGGAGAGGCTGCGCTGACGAGCCACATGAAAGGCACGCCGTAGTAGAGCATTTTAGATTAGGCTAACGTTGCATGTTACGTTTGTTTAAGCCAGGGGTCAGGAACCTTTTTGACTGGGAGAGCCATAAAAGCCAAATATTTCTAAATATATTTCATTGAGAGCCATATAGTATTTTTAACGTATAATAAATTAAATATGTCTTACTTTTAATGCGACTTCTGGTGCTGCATGGTTTTGCTGATGGCCTTGTAGTCTGGTTCATACGTGGTGAGGTGAGCTTCATGGCAGGCGTTGAGGCTCTCATCAGTTAAAACGTGAGCGTGGTTGGGTCTTAATGTTCCTCATATGCGAGATTGACTGCTCACATGCATATGCTAGAGCCAAACATGGGTCAAATACGGCAATACTCACACGCGTGCGAATCTTTGTGGTAGTCACAAGCGAAGCTCGTTCCAGAAGTTTTAAGATCAGCTGTCTTCAGGCGGTTGAACGATTTTTCATTTCTGTGCACTT